CCGGCCATCTCCGCTCCCTGCCCAGCTCTGCTCCCTGCCCAGCTCTGCTCCTGCCCATCTCTGCTCCCTGCCCAGCTCTGCTCCCGGCCATCTCCGCTCCCTGCCCAGCTCTGCTCCCTGCCCAGCTCTGCTCCTGCCCATCTCTGCTCCCTGCCCAGCTCTGCTCCCGGCCATCTCCGCTCCCTGCCCAGCTCTGCTCCCTGCCCAGCTCTGCTCCTGCCCATCTCTGCTCCCTGCCCAGCTCTGCTCCCGGCCATCTCCGCTCCCTGCCCAGCTCTGCTCCCTGCCCAGCTCTGCTCCTGCCCATCTCTGCTCCCTGCCCAGCTCTGCTCCCGGCCATCTCCGCTCCCTGCCCAGCTCTGCTCCCTGCCCAGCTCTGCTCCTGCCCATCTCTGCTCCCTGCCCAGCTCTGCTCCCGGCCATCTCCGCTCCCTGCCCAGCTCTGCTCCCTGCCCAGCTCTGCTCCTGCCCATCTCTGCTCCCTGCCCAGCTCTGCTCCCGGCCATCTCCGCTCCCTGCCCAGCTCTGCTCCCTGCCCAGCTCTGCTCCTGCCCATCTCTGCTCCCTGCCCAGCTCTGCTCCCGGCCATCTCCGCTCCCTGCCCAGCTCTGCTCCCTGCCCAGCTCTGCTCCTGCCCATCTCTGCTCCCTGCCCAGCTCTGCTCCCGGCCATCTCCGCTCCCTGCCCAGCTCTGCTCCCTGCCCAGCTCTGCTCCTGCCCATCTCTGCTCCCTGCCCAGCTCTGCTCCCGGCCATCTCCGCTCCCTGCCCAGCTCTGCTCCCTGCCCAGCTCTGCTCCTGCCCATCTCTGCTCCCTGCCCAGCTCTGCTCCCTGCCCATCTCTGCTCCCTGCCCAGCTCCGGTCCCTGCCCGGTGCCGGTCCCTGCGGAGCTCCAAGGCGTTTTTGGGCGCAGAGGGCAGCGATGAGAGCTTGACGTCAGCGGGCACGGCTGCTGGGCTGTCTCGCCTGCTGGGACTATTTTTAGCATTATCTCAGAAGTGCCTCCTCGCCGGCTGTAGTTGCTTAGCAGCCCCGCGCTGGGGATGGGCGGATGATGAACGCACACGTGCAGAGATTTCCGTGCGGGCTCCCCCGGCCACCCGAGCCAGGGCTCGCAGCCCTGCTGGTGATTATTTCCAGCCCTGCCCGCGGCTCTGCCCGGCGCTGGTGTCCAGCAGTGACAGCCCCGGGGGCTCCTCATCCCCTGCCCTGCACTCACCCCTCCGGCAAGCAGACCCTTCCTTCCCTCTGGGTTTGCTCGGCTTGGGAGCAGACATCAGAAAAGGGGCTTGGGCTCAAAACACGCTCCTGTGGAAGTCCCGAATCCACAGCCAAGGAAACGCGGTGCAATAAACCTTGGCAGGACGCTTTGTTTACTCTTTGGTGAGCTGTTTTACTTTCAGATGATCTGTTTTCTCTGACGTAATGTAGAATTGCATGTGTCTAAAGCTGCCTACCGGGATTGCTGGTGTCTGAGAGGGGAATTATGTTTGTTGTAAAGTCAGTGATACCCTCAGAATTAAGGCTCTCAGAAGACAAAAGCAGTTATTTTCTCAAATTCAAAACTCTGGTACTTAAACTATATCTGCTCAATTTGATCAAATCAGATTGCTGAGCTACAGATAAGTCTGTAAATACATTAAGCTAAAGAAAGATTTGTTTTCCGTCTCCATGCCCTGACAGGTTCCTTTAAAACAAGAAAATCCTGAGATTAGTTACTGCAGGTACAAATACAGCACACACACAGGACTTTTAGGGCCTGGTTTCCAAAATGGCAGGAGCCCAAGCTGGTGCACAATTGTAAGCATGTCCCATAATTTGATAAACCTGAGAAATTAGGCTGAGGCTGTCTGTGCATTTTGGGGCACATCCTGTTCCTGTCTGCCCAAGACCCTCCAGGAGATGCTGCAGCTCCTGTCCCTGCCCTTGCATCCCCTCATCATGTGTGACCAGCCATGTGAGGAGTGTGTCCGAGCTGCAGAGTGGTGATGCAGAGCCACAGGGCTTTGAGCACAGGCCAAGGAGGCTCTGGGAAGAGGAAGGCAGCAAGGCTGTGCAGGGAGGGCTGTTGGAGTGGGAAACTGATCTGGGCAGCTGGGGGACAGACTAGAGGTCTAGAAGCTCCTTGATAACCCACTGCCTTATCAGGGAGGGATGGTTGTTGCAAGGACAGATGCTATTTCAGGAGGATGCTGCTGGTGAGACAGAAGGTCTCTGTCAGGCACTGGGGCTGGAACACTGAAGGAAGGAGAGGGTTTCTGCTGTGTGTCAGAGGCTGCCAGGAGGAGTGCAACACCTTCCAAACCAGAGGCTGGATTTCTGCTCAAGGGAAATGATCACTGAATATCACACCCCGTTTAGTCTGGAGTAGTTATGCTGCTGTGGGGAGGAATAAGAGGTGGGAGCACTCATTCAACATGAAAGCCCTCTGTGCATACCTGTAGTCCTATTGATTTAGCATAAAAGGCAGAAATCAAATAACAATTCAGCCTTATTTGCCAGCTTGGTCCCCAGATCATGCATTTTTAGAAAGCCATCCTAAATTATTTCTTCTTGAGAGTTATAGGCTGCCACTGCTGGTAAATGTCAGCCAAAAATGAAGTAGGGTGTGAGAATGGGGCAGTCATGCATTTTCTGCAGCTGATGGTGACACCAAGGACCTTTCCAGTAGCTCGTGCTACTACCCAGCTTGCTGGCAAGCTAGCACAGAGCTCAAAGCTCTGAGGAAACATAAAATCCAGGGCTACACAAGTAGTACACAAAAAAGTGGTTTGGTTTCATTATGGTTGGCACCTTGGAGTAACCTTTAATCACTTGAAGATTAAAAGGCAATTTCTGAGCTACTGGAAACTCAGCATTTCAGGAAAATCATTCCTTTAAAGCAGGCTCAAGTGATGGAACTTTTCCCTCTCACTTGTTCTCTTTAACTGATGTACAGTAAAGGATGTGGAGCCAGATACTAAGTAGGTTTTCCAAACAGCCCTGGGAAAGGTGGATCTGGCAGACAGCAGCACCAAAGAGTGGAGTCCTGTCCAAGGCAGCCAAACACAGGTGTGTGTTTTTGCCATCGTCCCCAGGAGATGATGGAGAATCCAGAGCTGAGGTGTGTGTGCTCCCAATCCTCTGCAAGTGCAGCCTTGTTTTCAGTGTGTGGCACATGTCCTGGCCGAACCAACCCAGTGTGTGCCCCACTGCCTGCACAGACGTGCCCCGGGGTGGTGCTGCAAAGGTAATTCCTTGCCTTTTGGCTCCTGTTTGTCACATTAACGCTTGTGCCTCATCGATTATTTTCAGACATTGTGCAATGCACTAGAGTGCAGGTAAAGCCCCTCCCTGTGCCGCTGTGGGACATTGAGGACAGCTTTGTGTGCTCTCCTTCAAAACAGCTAAAACCATGAACCTGTGCCTTTGCCAGCCCAAGCCCTCACTGGGCCTTGTGGAGTGTTTAATGAAACACTTTCTGCATCCAAATTCCAGATGCCTCTGGCTCTGCCACCTGCTGCCAGCTGCTGCTGACCCAGGCTTTGCTGCAGCTGGGTCCAGGCCTTGGGGGCTTTTTCTATCCTGTAAAATAAATTTGAAATAAGATATAAGGTTTACATGGTTTAGGACAAGGCTTTATCCTACTACGTGTTTGCTTCAGGCTCTTTGCTTTGGCAAGCATGTCAGGAGTGGGAAAGGAAATGAGTGTCACCATTTGTCACACATTTAGTAATGTTGCATATAGAAAGGTAAATGCCAAGTGTACATATGCCATTTTATAAATAAATGCTGGCAAGGAAAGGCGATTTCTACCCAGTTATGTGCCCTTTTGGATGTAAATGTTATGTATGTGTGGTAATATTTGGCCATCTGCTGCTGACAGCCAGAATTGCACGGGCATGGCAGGAGGGAGCCCCTTACACTGGCTCCTGCAGCAGCTGTAGCCAGGAGGGGGGACCCGAGGGACCCCAACACCCTGAGAGGTGCTGGGATCTGCTCCACATGATGTGAGAGGGCTGACAGCCTCATCTGGGCTTCCTGATATCTAAAGAAACCTAAATCCAGGCTGGAGCTCACCATCTTGGTCTGTAATAGTGTCTGTGGGTGGCAGCCAGCAGCTGACCCTGCTGGCCTGTGGCAAGTCTGTGCCTTTCAGTGGCTGGAGGTGTTTGCAGGGATGCATCTGCCTGATGTCTGACCTACAGGGTCGTGGACCACACCTGAGAACAAAACCAGGGTACAACACCTGGGCGGGAGAGGAAAAGGAGAGGTGTGAGGAGAAAGAAGGGGAGATGAAAAAACACAGTGTGGGAAAGGTCTAGATTAAAAGAAGGTGGGAAAGTTGGTATTGGCTTTACAAAAACAGTTCTGTAAGGGTGTGTGATTTTGCAGTGTGTCCAAAGGAAGGCACTCAGGTGAGCTCTGACAATATCTGAGTGTCTGATCCTCCTCCCATCAGAGGGAGCGCTCAGAAGCTCATCCCTGGCACCCCACAGCAGGTCTGGACATCTGAAGACTGTCAGCTTTGCCCACATGGATAAAAGGCATTAAGGACATATCCCCTGTTTTTTAAGATGTGTTTTCTGACCTGTGCGTGGGCCTGTGCTCTCACACCAAGTGTTCTGAGCTCTCTTCAAGCACTGTGGATTTAATTGGCTTCCCAGGCAGGCACCTTGCACCATGGTCTGTCTTGCTGGCAGCCTTGGAGATATTTTGGCATTGTTCTTTTTCACTTGGCACACAAGTGTCTGCACACAGTGTCCAGAGTAGCCAGGCCCAAGTCACTGATGACATCATGGTCTCTGGAAGAAAAACTTCCTCAGGGAGTAGGGCAGTGTGTGCAGCTTGAGCTAAGCACAATAAAAAATCTCTGTTTTGTGTAGAAAATGAAAAACATGCTCAGAAAGACCACAGGGAGTAATAACGCTGACTGCTAGCAGAAAATGTGTTGGATGAGCCCAAAGTCAATGTGCTTGTATTTTATTCTGCCCCAGAAACTACATGTGTAGGATGAACCCAGCTCCCAGCAGATTCATCCTTGTGCCTTGGTGGCCCTTTCCCTCTCACGGGGCAAACTGGTCCAGAAGGACCCGGCAGGACTGAGCAGCAGCTGACTGCAGGAAGGGAAGGCTCCTCAGCTCCCCTGAGTGGGGAAGCTGGCACTTCAGGGCTGGAGCCTGCCGAGCCCCAGGTACTCACTGCAGTTCCCCTTTTCCTTCTTTTCCTTTCTTTGCTTTTATTAAAGCTGACTGCTGGCAGCAAACTGTAAAGTCCTCTCTGCTGACATTGCTGCAGGAGAATTCATGGGCTTTTCCTGGTTTCCAGGGGATATTGCAAACTCCAGGGAAGGGAAGAGTCAGCAAGGAGGGAGGGAGGAGGAACAGAGCTATTCAATGGTCCTGGGAGATTTGCATCTGTCAGCTAATAAATGCAGTAGGACAACAATGAAATTAATTTTAAATCACCTGAACAATCCAAGAGCAATTACTTCATTTAATTATAAGCAAGATGAGGGAAACAATAGGATTTAATTTCAATAATACCTCTACCAACTCAGCTATTATTTTAATTTAATTTAAAGTGACAGAACTTCCTGCGTTGCAATACTCTGCCTGGAAATACCATGCTTTACCTTCACCATTCAGTCAATAAACCATGGTATGGACTTTGCTTAATATTCAGCACCTGATTGAAAAAGAAAACAGGGCCCTACACTTTGTTTCAAAATGACATTTCCAAGTCTGTGCAGCAATATCTGTTACAAGTGCCAAAGTTCACTGGGAGAACCCAGCACTAAACTGAATGATGACCTGCTTGTTTGGGTATTATTTATTAAGAATGTTTTCTAGATCCCCCAAGTATTGTAGTTCCCCTACAGAACACACAGCCATCTCAGGCTCTCCCTGAAGGGGCTCAGCACTCAGCTGAGTGAGGGGAGTCTTCCAGTAGTCCCAGGCTGGAGTAATGTATCAAAATCTGGGCAAGTAGAAAGAGACATGAGAGCAAAAGTAAGAGCTGGCTTTGTTGGCTGCAGGCGAGCTGGTGAGTGGCACAGCTGGAGAAGTCTTGGCTTGCTGTCTCCTGGTTTTTTTTCCCTTGTAGTTGCAGGTTTTTTGGGTTTTGGGGTTTTTTTTCTGATATTTTTAGCATTATTCCAGTTTGGTAGCATTCAGCTTGGTTGCTATAATAACTGCTGCAGACACTGTCATGAGGGAATTTATTCTGTCTTTGTGAGTATGTTTGCACTGCATGAAATAAAGAGGGCCTGAGGCAAGCTATTGAAGAACAAGGAAAAGACAAAATATTGACTCAACAATTCAGTGAGCATCATCTGCCCACTGTGCTGAACAAGGCATGGGTCCTACAAGAAAGATCTCCTTGATCATGTTATTAAAGAATATCTTGAAAGGCAAAGAGACAGGAGAACTGGAGACAGCTGCATGGCCTTGAGTAAAACTGATAACTTTTGAATACTTGACCTCACAGCATATGAATATGTAAAATTAATACATGATTCATATAGGTATGTAAAGGAGCTGATATACCCAGACATATATTTCTAACTCATGTAAATCTGTGTTAGTGGTTTAATTTGTTCTTGTCTTAGTGCTTGTTGCTTTTATTAAGAGCAGCTCCTTCTGATGTCCTGAGGTTTTATTAAGCTGCTCTTAATAAAAGCAACTTATTTTATTAAGAGCAGCTCCTTCTGATGTCCTGAGTCACTTCAGAGAGAAGGACATGAGGATCCAGCTTCAGCTCCTCCAGGCAGCTCTCAGTCCCATGCCTGGGTTGTTGTCAAGGAGACATATCTCTGGCATACATCTTCTCTGTGGTTTCTCCTTAGTATGCTTTTCCATTGCTATGGAGACTATCACAAACTCATTTAGCAACTCCCCAGTGCCCCACGAGGAATATGTATTTCATAACTCACTCCTCAGAACAAGGAGTGCTGTTTAATTTTTGGCTGCTCACCTGCATGTCCAGCCTGGCTATGCCAGGGACTGTTTGTGCTGAGCCCTCATGAGCTGACACAGCGTGACTCTAAGGGCAGGGCTACACAAAGTTGTCTTCAGTGGGGATGCTTTGGAAGCTGAGACAAGCTTTGTGTGTGGGAGGGAGCCAAATTCTTGCCCTGGCTACTCAGCATGGCTCTCCAAGTCCAAACCCTTCTCATTCTCGAGGTCTCCAGCTGGCATTCTGCTGGGTTCTGAACAGAGGTGAAACCAAGAAAAATGCCTAACTCTACCAGTGCAAGGAGAGGGAAACAGAAGCACTGTGCTGGCCTGTGCTGCAGGGCAGGAGGGAGGGAGCAGCGCAGCAGGGCTAGCAGGGGACAGGGGAGCAGCGAGAGGGAGGATCCGTGGCTGGGTTTGTCAGCCTCCTGCTGCTGCAGATGGGCTGCACCCCCTCGGGGCAGCACCGGAGTTTGTGACAGTCACACAGGGGCACTTCGGCTCCCGGGGAGCTGTGGCACAGCTGCACTGGACACAGCAGCAGCCCAGCAGCAGAAGTGGCACCGGCAGCCTGGAGGAGGCCAAGTGTGTGCACTCAAACCACTTTGGCCAGTACAGAAGTGTAGTCTGTAATGAGAAAAGCAAGACATAAGAGAAGTTATCACTTGGGATTTACAAGAGCTGTGCACAGGAAAGCAGTCACTGCTGGCTGAAGGGCCTGCAGCAGTGGGTTTGAAAACACCAGAACATCTTCCTTCTGAGACACACGGGAGAAGGATCCTGGCAAAATGCTCCCACAGGGACTTAATACCATTGAAAGATCCCTTCTGAAGCTGATGCAAGTGAGCAGGCAAAAAAAACCCCAAAAAAACCAGGGCAACCTATAAAATAATCAAGTCCCATGTTCAAGGTGGGAATTACAGCTCTGTGGTGAGACTGAGATGGCAACTGGGGCTGTGGTTCCCAGCTCCCTGCCCTGTTTCCCCCCTGCAGTGCACAATCTGACTTATTAGCATAACCCTCAATTCCAGTTTGCATGATGTGTCAGTCTGTGCCCTGCAGTACCTCAGGAGCACACAGACTGTCATTTGGCTCCTGGGGCAGGGAGGCCATTGCAGGGCTCTGAGATGGGCACAGTGACTCTGTTACCCTCACTGGGTAACTCAGAGTCCATCTGTACCCAGAAGCAGACAGACACCCTCCAAGTCTCCACTTTAGTGCTACACAGGGTCATAAATATTCAACAGGTAGTAGGAACAGCTGAACCCAGCTAACAGAAAATAAATAAATAAATAAATAAAATGAAGTAATTAATCAATTCAGTCATTTAACAGAAATGTACAAATTTACATATTTTACTAAGGCACATGGTTTCTAATGAAGTAGGGTTTGGGAAACCCAAAGGATTCACACATACCCTGTCACTTATGCAAATCACTCTCTGTTCACTGATTTATAGCATCAGTTGGCTGCACATGAAATTACTTTAAAATGCTGATGTGCATCTCCCTGGTGTCTGTTGGGCTGTTTCCATGTGCTGCACTGGGGCTGGCTCAGCACAACCCAGAGCTGGGCTGGTATAGGATGTGCACCTCAAAATCCCCCTCTGCATTACAGAGCCAGCACACTCACAGGCAGTGGAGAAGGAAAAGAGGAGGGAAATGCATTGAAAATCTACCCTGAGCAGTTCATTTCAGTGTCTCTCAGCAGTGATTGGCTGCTTTGTAATTTGCTTCAGTGCCATTTTTAGTCTTGTGAAGTTCAAAAGGTAAAGGATGTATTTCACTCAAACTTAGATTTGTTGTTTTCGACTTGGATCCCAGATTTGATGGAAGTTGATTATCTGGATCCAGTTAGTATCCGTAGAAATGTATGTATGTACACACCACACATGGGATTGCACTTCATGGGGGTAGCTATGCCCAAGCAGCAATTCCATGTGCAGCTCTCGTTCATATGGCTACATTTCTCAGAGGCACTTTTTTGTCTCATCATGGGTTTTCTTCTGGGTGTTTAAAGGCTTGGCTTGCTCTTCAGCTGTGTGTTGGTGAAAGCTTACAGCCAGGATTTATGGATTTGCAAACATGTCATTAAGGGGTTGGTGGATTTGGTCTGCACGCTTGGAGCTAAATTCCATTTATCTGGAGAGTAGGTGTTTAACTAATGGCACATCAGACATGGAATAAATGCAGGGCAGCTTCTAATGTCAGTGTTTTACAAAAACATCTGAATGAATGAGCTGAGAGAACAAAACATCTACTGTTTTTATATTCAGTGGACAGAAATAACAAGAAAAACCGCCATGATGAAGCACTATCTTTGTGCATTAGTGATTACTGCAAGGTTAATTTTATTCATTCTGAAGGATCGTCATATCTGTAAGACTGTGGAACAACAAGTTCAAGAAACTGAAAGAACCAAATAATTGCAAACCATATGTTGAAAACAGCCTAATTAATATATCAAATAAGAATTTAAAGGAATTACGTGAAAGAAAACAGTAAGTTTATGTAACATTTCTAGCTGAATGAAAGGCTGATTGTGTTTGTTAACAGGGCTGTAATGCTCTGTGTGCATTGGCTGCACGAGCTCTGGGTAAGAAGGATGGTGGTGCTACAGGGAACTGGGAAAAAGTGTAGAATAAATGTGGTCTAGGAAAACAATGAGAAAGAGAAGGAGAGAGATGTGCTCTGCTTAAGGCTTCATTCTGCTTCAGATAATGAAGCTCTCTTCTATAGCAGAATTATCAGACAATATTATGTTATGCTTCAAGATGCCAACCTGATCAAGGCCTGACTATTCTAAACATAGAAAAAATGTAATTTCTGCCTAGAAAGCTTTAAGATATACAGCGGTTTATAGAATAACATACTTTTATGTGAGCAGTCACAAGTACTGGGGACTAAAGAGTATGACAAAATAAAAATTTGAAAGAACATGTCAATAGGGCTTGATGAGATCTGCTGTCTTTCTTTTGCTTATTTCTGAGTAAATCCTTGCAGTTTTCTCTGTAAACATGCAAAAAAATTAATTAAAAGAACTTTATGAAGGCTGAAAAAAGCAAAACTTGAAAATCTGAGAAAAGGTAAGAAATCAGGTTGACTGGGAATAATGTGTGCTTTTCATGCACAAAGCCATATGCTATTTTTTCACCCTGGCCTGGAGATGAGTCAAAGCTGCTTTTGAAGGAAGCTGTGGTTGTAAGGCTGTTGTTAGAGAAGCTGCAAATTGTAGTGATTTATACAGGGCACTATGGGAAGATGATTTGGTGGTTACAATGAGTGTATGTTATTTGGGAAATCAGATTCCCTTTTACATAATGCTAGACAGCTCTCCCACACCAGGCTTTTCACAGGCTCAAAGGAATACTGAGTCTTTGCACTGCATGTATCTGGCAGTAGAAGGCAATTTATCCTCCTTTGATTCAGATTGAATTGTGTCATTATTCAGACAGGGCACAGCCTTTCTCACAAAGTAACATGCAGTAACAACTATGCAGGTGAGATTTCAACCAAGCAGTGCCTGGGGCCTCAATTCCCCTTGTGGAGACTTTGAACCCTCCTGGGTTTGCTCTAGATAGTGCCAGTGACCGCTGTCACAAGGATGCCCGTCCTCTGCAGAGCCCTGCTTGCAGAAGAACCAGAGAAGCTGCTGTTGCTCCCTGTGTTTACCCGGATTTTATCCACATGCCACAAAGCTATCCAACACAATTTGTTTTTTTCTGCTGATGAATGTTTTCCCACCTTGTTAGCACCTTATCATGCAAACATCCAGAGATGTGAAAGATTTTGTCTTTTTACCTGGTTTCCTGTGAAAGCAGAGCTTACATGGTCCCTCGGCCAGCAGATGAGCCATGGGCCCTCTAGGAATTGTGAGTTTCCACAAAAATGCCCTAGAAAGGTTGTGAGAAAACCTGAGTGATGCTTGAGAAATGTGTGCAAAACTGACAGAAAATTTGGTTGTACATCACACATAAAATTAGTCCTACAGAACACTGTCTGCGTCAGAGCACTGAACTCTGAGAGATAAGGACCTGCTGCTTAAATCTTTCTTTCTGGACTCGTGGCTCCTCTCTTTCATGCTCTGATACTATGTTTTTTTTCTCATAAAGGCTGGTTATCGAGCTGTCTCACGAAGTATGACTCAAGTGACATCTTTACTGATCTCATCAAAGTCTTTTCCAGAGGCATCAAGGAAAGATGGAGAGATAAGGACTTGGTAATGTTGAGATCTGGAACATATTAAAAAAACAGGTAGGAAAATAAGCCTAGAAAAAGCAATTAAAGTTAGAGAAGATTAAAGGATAAATATCTTGGGGGAGTTTACTGTATGTTTCACTTCTATTTGTACTGCACCTTTTAGACCATCTTTTTTTTTTTTTCATTTTCATAGCACTCCACTATCAATATAAGCACCAAACAGATCTAAATTAACAAGTTGGATTCATTACACCATTCAAACAAATTTCCCTGGGCTTATTACACCTAAAGGCTTGATACTTTCCTGGCAGCCTCTTTCAAATTACCCTTTCAACAAACATGACATAAACTTGGGTCTGCAGAGCATGAAAATTTATGTGCGAGAGCAGTTATTTAAACAGGTGGAAATTCTCAGATTCACCAGAAAGGTGAAGCATCAAGTACACCATTAATTTTTCAAAAGGGCTTCACAGTATAATAGTCTTGTACTGTTGGCATCCACGGTGAGAGATAACTGCTTCTTGCTGCAACTCTGCCTTTCTCTGCAGTGCAGTGCAGCGCGCCAGCTCTGCTCCAGCACTGTGCAGCATTTCATAATGTGCAACTGCTCGTGAGCCCCCATTCAGCTTTTCCCTCTTGCACATGCAGTGCTTCTCAGGCTTCTGCCCAGGCTCTCAGCAATAATGCAAGCAGCACAAATCTCCCTGCAGCCGCCTGAGCAGCCAGCTCTTGCAGCAGCATGGACTGATGTGCAGGCAGGCTTGGCTTGCAGGTAACAGAAATCTCGAGCAGGACGGCACTGACTCGCTGGGCAGAGGACAGGGAGCTGCTGCTCGTGGAGCACCTTGCAGTTGCTGTGAGTAAATGTACACTTGATTCTCAGCCAGTGCTGTCTACACATCAGACATTCCGCTGTTCCACGAAGTTTGATTTTTCAGAGACGTTGAAAAATTTTTTAACTGAGTTGTTACCATGCTGTCAATTTCGTATGTAACACACTGCAGGCAGACTATGACTTCCCTCTAAGGAGCTCTGTGTGGATTCCAAAAAAGAAAAGGATTGCTGCAGTTCCCACTCTCCTGAAACTACTACACTACTGCTCTGAGTTATCTCACCATTTTCACCCTGGTTGAAATTTAATACATATAATATGACTGCTTGTATCAGCAAAAAAATTACTCTCCTACTATTTTTCCTTGGATTTTCAGGACCTAAAGTTTTAAAGACCTGAAACTGGTTTAAGATATACATTTGTCAGGTCAAAATTACTGCAACAACTACTTGTTTAGAAACCTGTCACTCAAATGGAAGTGCTCAATTTGTATGCTATGTATAACTGTTGCTGGCAATATGTAATAATATCTAGAACATTTAAGGAAGTATACACTTAATAAACAGAAAAACATACTGTTAATAAACAGAATATGAAGAAACAGCTTATACACACAAACAAGGACTAATGTAGCCCACGATGTAATAAATCTATGACAGGATAATGTCTGTGACAGGAACTCAGATATTTACTTACATACTGTACATCATGCTAGAAGATGTACATCTCACTTAGGAGATATAAAATGTCTTAAAGATGTAATAATAATAAGGAAATTCAGGAGAGCAAGTTCTAAGAAATTTAATGTCTTATATTTGTTGCTCTGTTGTAGAGGAATGCTGTTCAGGAAAAGATATCCTCTAAAAGACCTTGAGGAAATGGAGCAGATGGTTGCATGTTCTATCCCACTTAAATTCAAAGTGGCTTTATAAATACTCAGAAAAAAACCCCAACAATGTTCCCATAGTTTTTAATACAAATAAAAGAAGCTAAAAGTTGATTTTTGTTGATATTAAATTTGGAATTCCAAACCAAAATATTGACTTTTTTACACTATAATGATTTTTAACTCAAAACTGGTGATGAACTAATGGGTTCAATATACATTGTTATTAGAATTATTTGTACGTTGGATTTCTGTATCAAAACAACTCATAGGATAAGGAAAAATTCCAGTTTGGGATGAGACAAGGTAGGCCTCAGTAGGGGCTGCAGCATTTGGTGCTGATGGACTGAGTCCCTGCTGGGCAGAGACCTCTGTGGATCCTTGTACCTGCGCAGGTTTTAATGAAGAGCTGCTGGGGGAGCTCCTGTGCATCCTGGGGCTGTGCCTGAGCCGCCAGTACAGCGTGTGCTGGACACCCTGTGCTCTCAGTGCCTGCACAGACTGGCCACACAGCACATGTGCTGCTATGGCCAGAGGAGTCTGTGGGGCCATTCAACTGAAAATTTGGTTGGTTATTGATAGAAACTGGATTCTGCCATCAAAACAGTAGAATTGGCAGGTGTAGGGAGTAACTCCTCTAAAAATCCTTTCTAATTTTTAAGAGGTGTTTATCTGACATACACAGACTACAGGATCTTGGCGACTGGTACTTCTCTGCTCTAGTTAAATACTGTTTTGCTCCTTGGCTTCTGTCCTATTTCCACAAGAGGAAATAGCATCTCTTCCCTCTCATGGCTGGTGATTGTTTTTCTCTCAATCTGTAGCTTTATTATGGATCAGAGGGAGCCAAGGGCCAGGAGTGACTTGCAGTTCTCAGCACATGCTGGTCTCTCCAGACACACTGCTTAGTAAGGAAATAAATTAGTGAGGGGTAAAAGACACAATATGGTGCTTACCACCCTATTTCAGCACATTAAATATATACAATCTGCACTTCATTCCAACTAAAAATAACACTCAGATTAATGCAGCTTTCTTTGATATATTCAATCGAGAAACCATTAGCATGAATTACAAAGCAGGAAAAGTGTGGTTCACAGTGTCTGTCACTCCAGAGCTGTGCCTTAGGATGGATGGGGGCAGTTTGGTGGAGTGGACTGAGCATGCACCCAGGAGTGAGACAGGGCACGTATCTCCACAAGTGTCATCAACTCTTTCTGGAATTTAAGGCAGGTCTTTTAAGTACATATATTTCTATTTTGAGACAGTCCATATTTAAACACTTTATTTTTTAGCAAGTCTTCAGAATGTACAGCTCCAACTGATGTCTGTGCTGGCTACTCAGTATCCAAGTTTCAAACTTGAGGACTGAAATTTAGAAGGCAGTTTTGAAAATCCTGGCCTCATCTTCCCTGGCTTTCTTAATTCCTAGTGCGATATCTGAATGGCCTTATCCATCTTTGGCTGATTGAAATCTGCTACTGAGAAAATGCTGTAGGAATAATTATTACTGTATCTCACAAATCTTGATGAGCTTTTAAACTAATATCCTTAATACCATTCAAATTTCACAATATAATCATATTTGTAGAAACAAATCTAGACTATATGTTATTTTCGTAGCTTTATAATATTTTTACAGTGTTAAGGCTGTGCACCAAAGCAGTTTAGAAAGCTGAACATCACTGATCCATTTTACAAGTGGAGACAACTGCACTCTGAAGAGGGATCTGCATTAGACCACACAGACTGCAGCAAATTCACCACTAGAATACAGGATTTCTGATACAAAATTTACTCTACTGAACTTTAAGTGAGTGGTTCTTAAACTCTCGGCGGATACAGGCAGTCGTTGGTCATAGTATCCATGTTGCTTTCTTGCCTCCCCTTACAAAATTAATTGGAAGTGTAGTTAAAAATACGTTGCTGCTATTACCTTTTCCCTTAAGTGATTCATGATTGTCACCACTGGGATGCTACTCAGTAATGAAACCGAAAGAATCCCTTGCTGCATCACTGGGGCAGAGGATCTGCTTGACTTAATTGGGAAGGGTCAGCCAATTTGCAGCAGGTATTGTTGCTATACTTACAGAAAATAATTTTGTGGTATATTGTGTAATTCTGGATGCCCATCTCAGTTATAAAGGACAGGGAAAAAAATCTGTCATGGCTCATGAAATTGATTGGTTTTGCAAAACTAATTCTCTTAAGATACACAAATGTATGTCAGTTGAAATTCAGACTCATGGGCAGGGGTTGTTGCATGGAAGTGGCATTTTATTATGATGAAGCTTTGTGATACAATATTTTCTTTTTGTCCTGAAATTGATTTTGAAATCTCTGTGTCTTGCAGGCATTGCTAACTGAGCGCAAGGCAATAGGAATGTGTCAGCAGGATGAGGGCTGCCCAGCAGAGTCCAAGGGAGGCGGCAGGATGCCATCTGTCTGAGTGAAGACTCCAACAGAACCCTGGCATATTATGAGGATTTCTAATATGAAAATAGGCACAGGAGAATTTCAGAAGTCTCCTCAGGTCTTGCAGTGGTCTCAAGCCTTGGATATTGCAATTAAAAAAAGATTTTGATCTACTCATGCCTCTTCGCTGAATATCTGAACAAACTATTATGATTTTTCATAAAGAGGAATAGTCTACTGTCAGGAATTGGACTTAACAAATCAGCTAATGTAAGTTTACAGACCTTGCAGGAAAAATAAAAATATGCCAGAGACAGTGTAGACACCTTTTTTTGGGAAATGTTCTTAGAATATCTGCCAAATGGAGGCGACCTTTTTTCTCTCCTCAGAATTGTCTGCCTTCCTGGTAACAGACAGGCTTTGCCAACAGCGGGCACCAAATGCCCTCCCTGAAACTGTGAAGATAGCTGTGGAGGACAGCACGGATAACCATGGAGATACATGGAAAAGTATCCGGCCTCAGAAGGACACTTTTGTGTCAAAATTTACTTTTGAAATGCATTTTAGAAGGTTCCTGCGAGGAAGATGGGGAAACCTTAGGAGTTCAGTTAGTGTTTAATGTGGAGCTGGTCAGCTTTCTGCTGATGGCTGCTGAACATCAGACTCCCTGCCACTCATGCACGGGCGAAGCGCCCTGATGGGAGAAGCGTTGGGATGGGGATCTGCTCCATCCGCAGGGACACAGCTCCCTGCAGACTGCAGCGAGGCGTGGGGCAGCACAGACAGACCCGTGCAGAGGGAAGGGGGGATGGCAGCAGGGCAGGGTCCGTCCTCCAGCCCCGCTCAGCTCCTGTCAGCCCCGGCTGCTCCCGGGGCTCGAGGGCCCCAGGCTCCCCTCACGCCTTGGAAACCTCGGCCCCGCAGCAACGGGCGCCAAGGGTCCCCTCGGCACTCGGGGTCTGGGAGCCCCTCAGGACTCGGGGTCTGGGATCCCCTGGCTCCCCTCGGCACTCGGGGTCTGGGAGCCCCTCAGGACTCGGGGTCTGGGATCCCCTGGTTCCCCTCAGCACTCGGGGTCTGGGATCCCCTGGCTCCCCTCGGCACTCGGGGTCTGGGATCCCCTGGCTCCCCTCACAGCTGGGGACTGGGCGCCGCCGCCTCCCGCTTGTCCCGGGCACCCCGGGGCTCTTCAGGAGCCAGGATGCCCTCGGAGCCCGGGATACTCTTATCCTCAAGATGGCAGGACATCGTCTTAAGCTGTGCTCAGGGAAGGTTTAGGTTGGGTATCAGGAAGAAGTTCACAAGAAGGATTAGGCACTGAAATGGGCTGCAGAGGGAGGTGGTGGAGTCACCGTCGCCGGAGGTATTTAAGGAAAGACTGGACGTGGCACTCGGTGTCATGGTACAGTTGACGTGGTGATGTTCGCAGAGAGATTGAACTCGATGATCTCAGAGGTCTTTTCCAACCTCAGGGATTCCGCGATCCCTTCACGCTGCTGGCGTTGGTCCGCCCTGGCCGCCCTCCCGCAGGGCTCCCCTGGCAGCAGAGGGGCTGTCACCGACGCCCCGCAGGGCCGGGGGCTGACACCCCTCTCACCCCCGGGCCGGTGCCGCCGCCGCCCAGCCGCTCCCGGGGGAGGCGCGGGCGGAGAGCAGCGGGGACGCCCCGGGCGGGGATCCCGTCCCGCGGCTGCCGGAGGCGGAGCGCCCGCCCTCCCGGCGTGCCCCGCGGAGGGGCGGGCGGCTCATGTCCGCCATCCCGGCGTGCTGCGCGCCCGGGCAGCAGCCGGAGCAGCCGCGGCGGCCGCGTCCCCTCCCTGCGCTGTGAGACAGCAGCACCGCCTGCGGAGCGCGAGTGAGGAGCCGCCGCCCGCGCCTCTCCCCCCGCGTCCTCCTGCTCCTGCTGCTCCTCCGCCCTGTCCCGCGCCGCTGCCCGGCCGGCCATGCCGTCTCGGGCAAGGTAATGAGCCGCAGAGCCCCGGGGTCTCGGCTGAGCGGCACCGGCAGCAGGCAGCACTACCACCCGCGGGGCTGGAATGACTGGCAACCCAGGTGGGCAGGGCTGGGGCCGGGGGTGCGGGGTCGGCGCGGTGGGAGCGGGGCGGGAGCCACTTCCTGGCGGCCGGGCCTAGCGCGGGAGGCGGGCGGGCCCAGGCGGCGGGACGGGGCCGCGTCCGCCGGAGGCGGGACGGGGCCGGCTCTGTCAGCGCTCGGCGGGGTGGGAGCGCGCCGCGCTCCCCCGGAGCTCCCGCGGCCTGTAACGTGTGCGGCCGGTGGCCGGTGTGTGCCTGCGGGCAGCGCGTCCCTCCCCGGCGGCCGCGGGGCGGGCGGGGGGCTGCGCTGGCGGGGGAGCGGGGCTGGGCTCGGGTCCCGTGTTTTCAGCCTGTTTTTCAGCTGGAACACTGCCAGGGAAGAGCTGAGGCTGTAGGAGTACTCGTAGTTTTTGAGGGTTAACATCGTACTACATAGGTTTATTTTGATTTTTTTTTTTTTTTTAATAATCGGGAGAATAGCTGATCTGTATTAGCTCTCACCCCAGCCTACTTAAAAATGTGTTGTAAGGCTTTCGGTGTGTTTACACCTGGCACGTTTTAGTAAAATTCAAAATCTGTTCACTTTAGTTGGATGTAAAGAGTGTATTTCAGGTCTTAATTATTTTTCTAATCTGTCTCATGCCAGTGTATTTGCTCTACTGCTCAGTCTTGCTGTTTTCAGCGTCAAAATTGTCCTGTAGAAATCCTAAATAAATTTGGTGTTTCTTAGGCTTTTAAAAAATTACGTGGGTTTGAGGCTTTTTTTAGTGTTTTTGAAAGTTTAAAACAACGTGGGGCCCTAGTTACAAACTTTCCAGTAGAGAACAGAGTGGCACATGCTTGGGAATGTATTGACAGGTGATGGTTCCAGTCTCATGTAGTTTGGACTAGAAGAACTGGGTGAATATGAAGGTCACTTCAACATTTACTATGAAAGAAGCTTTCCTTTTGCTTGAACAACTAATGACACAGCCTCTAGGGCCGGTGCTAGAGGCTGTTCAATTCTTAATGTTGTATGGGGCATGGTTATTTAAATTCTAATTTCTTCTGTGATTGAAATACTTGGTCACATAACTTACTATTTTTTCCTCACTTAAGAACTTATGAACCTCATTGGTGACATTTTGTTAGAGCATCTAGATTTTTTTGGGAGAGAATTAAGAGACTGATCTCTTACTCCTTACCTACTTCTTTGCTTCAGTTTTCTGGGCTGCAGTGTGTAATTCTGGGCCCTAACTCGTGACCTTTCCACCTGGAAGAAATTGAATGTGCCTGTGGTGGATGACTTCTATAAATGCATTTTGGTTGGATATACGAATTTGTCATGAGTTCTAGCTTTTAATCTGAGAAATACATCTTATGAGGGTTAGGAAGCTGATTTTATCCAGTGTAGTATTGCCTACACAGGGTTCAGTAGAGGTAAGGGTGAAAGTAAGAGTGTAGCTGCAGAAAGGCTTTGCCTGGTGGAAAGGTTGGTTTAAAAAGTTTCCTCCATGTGTGGCTCTGGTGTGTTCCCTGTAGTCTGGTGCCTCCTTAGCTCTCAAGTCCAGCTGTGTGACCTGGGCTGCTAAAATAATTATCCACAAAGCCACAGCAGAGCCAAAGCTCTGAGAGCACCAGAGAAAATGTGGCAGCCTAAGGGAGCCTCAGGATAAACAGGACCTTGTTCTGTTTCCATCACACCGTGTGATCAAGAGCTTCTGCTAAGAAATAGCCAACACCTCTACACTGGTCCTGACACTTCTCAGAATTTAACTGTATCATTTCCTTTTTTTATTGTTACTATTGTGGTGGGGGATACCAGGAATCAGAAATGCTCACAGAATCCTGAGCACAGCACGTTTTCATCTGTGTGCAGTTCTCCATTTTTTTTACACCTCAGAAAGATTGGTGATGGGAAACCTGAGCCTACAGTATGAATTTAAGGAAAGTGCAGAGATTAAATCAGGCTGTTGATTTGGTGTTAACTAATTTTTAAAAGTGATTCACTCGCATGGTTGAAAGGAGATCTGTTATATAAAACTGACTGTGTTTCTTTCATAATATGAAATATGATCTTGGACAAACCCCACAACACAAATATACCCACATATTCTTTCCTTCCCCTTTCTGCTGGCTGTTTGTTTTATTTACTTCAGGTGATGCTGCTGGTAAATGCTTTCTTGCAGGGTGTGGAAGAGGTGTGAAGAAGTGGCCCAAGCATTGAAAGCTGTAGTAATTGTAGTTGTTTCCAGTTCCTAAAGGCAAAAAAGGAACTGCTGATCCATGGGTGGATCATCAGATGGATTGTTTTCAAATGCACTTTTTTTGTGTGTAAAAGTGACTAAATTAATTTTCATTAATAAGTCCAGATTCCTCTCAGTTTTTAGTAATGCTGATCAGCACTGGGGCTTGTGGTGAAAAGAGAGTGAAACTGAAAGTTGGAATGCAGAGCTTTTTTTAAGGAAGAGTAGTTTTTAATGAAAATGAAATCTTTTTTTGTGTGTGGATGCAGTCATACATCAGATGCACATGGGCTGGTTTTCCAGCAGTGTGTGTGCAGATAGAGCTGTCTGCGTGTTACAGAGGAAGAAGTTGTCCTGATGTATAAGGGCTTATTGCTTTGTGCACTGCTGTGTACCAGACTCAATTAATAGCAACACAAAAACTTTGTAGACAGATGTTGGATAGATGTGACAGAGAGCAGTGAAGGGTTTCTTGAGAAGGCTTGATGAGATCTTGTTCCTCCTTCTAATCTTTGCAGCTGTCTAGACCTTTGCTTCTTTCTTTTCTCATTGTTCAGTAGATCTCACTGCATTTTCCCTGTTACAACTCTTGGGGCAAAAAATGAAATAATTTCAGTGTGCAGGCCTCGTGTGAACAGAGTTCATTTGTTAGAGTGCTGAGGGCTAATTATGTACTGAAACAAGCAGTACTGCTCTTTGGGAGGAAATGCAGGAGTGTGAGTGCAGGGTGGCAGGTTAGCAAGTGCAGGGTGCACCATGGCATTCTCAGGTGAAAGTGTGAAAAGGAAGATAAGATTTTAATTAACAGGACCTCTCTCTCTCCCTCACCTATCATAAATGTAGGTTAGCAGGGGAGGATGTGAAAAAGTGTAAAACAACATCTTTCACATCTGAACAAATTTCCAGAAGTGTCCTATTAGGTTTTAGTACTGAAATAATGAAAATGGCATGAGTCCTTCTCCTACAGCACAAGTCAGTGTTACGAGTTACTGATTTGTTAGCATGGTCCCTGCCAAACCAAGTTATTGCCTGGTCCTCATGGGTT